AATATAAAGCCTCGCATAACTGGAAATTACCGGAACTTTGCATTGGAGCAAATGATGAAATAGTAAAAAAAATTACAGAACCCGGTTTTTTTTTAAACAAGAGTGGTAAAGCGGACACGCCCACACGCCCCACGTTCACACACTCACCGCGTTGAGGTGGTAGGCCAGCGGGTGGAAGAATAGGCATAAGTCTGACAAACTGTACTGATGTAGCGACTCTTGCCGTTGCCTCATCGTCGCCGACGATAGTAGAAACTCGTGTGCAATTAAAAAATTGGAGGCGTAGGGAGTATTGAACGTCTCTTGAGAGTTTAGGTCACTATTGACTTCTTCTTCAGCCTTCGTCTTCTTTTTGATTAGTATAAACGGCGTGGGTTCGAACTTTTTGTTTTGTTCTTGATCGCGAAAAGGCCTCGATACTCGTGAGATAGGACTTTGAGTAACTAACCGTTGAAGTGATCACTTCATTGTGATTGCTTTATACTTGAATCCGTCAAACTGTTCAACTTTAAAAAGACTTCGCACTTGACGAGGTAAACCTGCTGCTTGGCTGTTCTGGCCTCGAATGTGCACATACATTCTTTATCATCCTGTAATCCCTCCTTGGTAGCTTCTACAAGCAGAAATGCTTCCCCATGGAGACTTCTTTCTAATTTTTTCATGAACGTTTTCATCCAGCTGACATTGTAATCTCACTTATCAACGAACTCCTGGCGGATGCTTTGTCAAGTGCGAAGTCTGATGGAAGTTTAACAGATTTGACGGATTAAAATAGCTTACCTCGTCGTAAGGTGATCGAGAATTCCCACAGCTGTTAAGGTCACATTTCAGGGGGATTAGAAACAATGAACATTCTGTTTTGATTTCAATGGTGTAATGGGCTCGAATGTCGCACTTTTTTGCGAATGTTTGAGATACAAAAAGCAATAGTTATCGCGACCGTATTTCGTGAAATTAGCATTGAAATAAAGCGATTCGAACTATCGGACATAACTTTCAAGTGTTCGTGGGACGGCTTTTCGGAATTTCACACTTTAAAAAGGAACATATGCCTTTAAATGCCACTGATAACGAAAAAATGGTATACGCGGGGTGTGGTGGGATCCTCGGTTCGCTCGTTGCTAGCTAGTTGACGTGTCGCACAGATTGGCAGTAGAGCACGTAAACGACACATACAAAATCCTTTGGCCTCTGCTTCATTTTCAATCAAAAAGCCTTCCATAACAGCACCTTCCTATTACTGTCAGATGCTTCCATGGGAACCAAACGATTCTCTCTCATGTCCCTCCATCCCAAGGACTCTCAAATTCTAGTAATTCAAAAGGGTTTTATCATTATGTTACACTTCAAAAGAAGTTGTAAGACACTTGGGCAGATAATTACCATATTATTGCAACTATTAGTAATAGTAATTTCAGGTTTTACGAAAATCCGACGGAAAACCTTTTGCATGCAAACTTGAAATATGTGGGGCCAATTCTCATGGTTTGGATATGGACTATGTGGTTATGAGTCAAGCAGCTAAACGAGGTTATTTTTTTTATTTTTGGAAAATTCCAAATATTCTCTGACGTCGTAAGAACCTTTCCAACATAATATCATCAGAAAATGTGACGAGCAGAACTGGATCTACAGATGATTACGATAATGAACCACCGATGAACTTTCATAAACGTGCGTCAATCGATATGCAGGACAATCTCCTTCAACTTACAAGTTCTGAGTTCTGTCCTCTCAGTACTCGAAAATTGCAACTCAAAATTCAAAATTTACCTTCTGCTCAGCCCTCCCTTCCATTAAACTCACTGATTTGTTGCGATTATCGATCGATAGGAGTTAGAACTAGATGGACCTTGTGGGTCAATATCACTGAAAAACTGCTTTGCAGGATGCAATCATTTAGTAAAGTCGATGGATCGTGGAAAAATCGAGGATCACTTCAAGTTCCTTATAATGCCATTGGTAAGCAAGCCGAAGCTTTTGTTTACTGTGTCTACTTACACCCATGAGAGGGTGTGGAATCATGCCCGCCCGATCACCGTGCCGCGCTAGCCGCTTCCGCCGCAAAAATCCCACGGATGATTTGAGCGCGCTATGTATATGCCATGTTTGAATGACTATAGCGAGGTCTCAATGAATGACTACGGTAATCGCAGTTTGAGCAAGCTCAAGGCTTTGCCACGTGCGTCTGCGCGACCTTGGGAATTCGGACACAAGGCTTGTCACCGTTCTGTAGTCAGCGAGAGTTGGAAAATTCAGAGTTTATGACAGTATTTAAGGAAAAATGATGGTATTTTCAGTTAGGCGATAATCTCACAAAAATTCGGCATCAATTTGTTGATGGTCGTTTGTCACTTTCTACCGGATTGCGACTTGCTTTTCTAGCCCTGGCACCGATACAAGAATTGCATAGTATTGGCTATGTTCATCGAGATATCAAGGTGAGAATGATCCATTTTAGTGATTTTTTCTGAATTTTAGTCTTTTTTTTATTATTTGAATGTATTCACAATTTACTTTTCTGTTAGTCCCTGTCTCGACTTGATTTGCTTTTGTAGTGCTCCAATTTTTGCCTCGCTCCGAATTCATACAGGAATTGCATAGTATTGGCTATGTTCATCGAGATATCAAGGTGAGAATGATCCATTTTAGTGATTTTTTTGAATTTTAATCTTTTTTTATTATTTGAATGTATTCACAATCTGCAGTTCTATTAGTTCCCTGTCTCGACTTGATTTGCTTTTGTAGTGCTCCAATTTTTGCCTCGCTCCGAATTCATCTCGAGGCGATACCAAACTCGTTCTCATTGACTATGGTGTGTGTCGCGCGTATAAGGATAAAAGCGGAAATATTAAAGCACCACGTGAGCAAGTTCGATTCCGGTAAGTTTTTGTTTTTGCTCCTGAATTGAGATTCTGATCTGTCCGAAGGCCTATAGCTTCCAAGGGGTGTGTGTCGTTAAGTCAGAACGCGGCAAGTCATTGGAGCAAGACAGATCCCACCAAATGCCGTGCGTTTGTGCGGTTCACCGGGATTTTGCTGGGTAGAGATTTCGCCCCTTTCTAAGCGACTGGACCCCGCTGCGTTGCTATTCCTCTTGAAATCGACCGGTGCACAGAAAAATACTTTTTCAATTTGTGAACAGCTTTGCCTTTCAAATATGTGGATGTGGTTGGGTACCATACTTGCTTACTTATATACTGAGTAGTTTCGATGTTTTTGGCTCATAGAAGTCATATTTTCTGGTCACTAGTGATCACTTCCGTCTGGTCGTAACCTAAGGAACTAACCTAACGGACCCTATTAAGGAACCCTCCTTTACAGACTGAGTGAACAGATCAAGAGGACTTCGATGGGTTGATACGATTCTTTCAGGGGTACAACTCGATACGCATCGATAAATGCTCATAATGGCGAGGAACAAGCTCCGAGGGATGACCTGGCGTCATGGTTTTATATGATGATAGAAATGTTGTCCGGTAAGAATTTGTCCACTACAAGTTCCATGGACTCAATTGTTCTAGAAAGGGCAGTTCTCTTTTGCCATAGCTTCTGTGTTTTCTCCCTTGGATGATCCTTCGATCCCCATGGATATCACAGGGTATGCTGTCGGGTAAAAAAAGACCCAAATGGGACGTATTAAGGGCTTTAGACCTGCTCAGCGGACGTACACACCCAAAGGCGGACGAGTTCTTACGGCGACATTAGTTCAAATGAGAACCTAGTGATCTGTAGATACATAAGGATTGTAGGGTCTTTTTCGGCTGCAAATTTGATACACTTTTATTTTCATGCAAACATCTAGACGACACTCTCCTAGTCCAATAATCTTGCACATCTCAGGATATCTCCCCTGGTCACATTTCCATCGCGATTCTGTCAACGAGGTACGCGCTATGAAGGAACATGTACAGACCAATGAAGGAGCTAATTTGTTGTTCGAATTTTGTCCAAAGGTATATAGTGTCTTCATTCAATTATTTCAAGTCGTTTCGATGAAAAACTTCTGGGAGGAGATCATAGAATGATGAATATTAGACTCAGTGCGAATACGAACTGATGGGCTTCCCTTTTTTGCCGAAATATGTAGACTGCTTCGAGAGGCTCACATTCCTGAGTACTTTCAAATCCCTAGTTAGCAATGTGATGAAGAGGACGCGTTGGCCGAAGGAATATGAGGAAGGAAGCTTTGGGCGTTTATCAGTCCTGTCTGAGGGAAGCGCCCCCGCGAACGATTTCCACTCAGAATAGTAGGGGCGTACTGAATGCGTATGTGGCCTGTAAAATAACTTGCGGTGGCCGGCCGATGTACCTGTCAGCGCTTTTATCCTCCCAGATAAGTCTGGTACCCATCAACCGACTCCGGAGGAATGGAAGGCTTGGTGGGCCTGGGCGGATATCGATCCAGGATTCGAATCCGTGATCATGCTTGTGTGATAGTGCGCCTCTTCATTGCACGACCTCCACTCCTACATTTTTTTTCAAGAACTTCTCATCGACCATCATATTTCAGGTAGAATTTCGTCGTCTTCAAAAATACATCGATGGATTGAAGTATCCAAGTCAACCAGACTACACCTTTATTGCTGAAATGTTACAACTGGCAATGAAGAATAACGGTGTGAAAATGGATGAACCCTATGACTGGGAAGAATGAGGTTTCAAAATAACAGAGATATCGTGATCGTTCTTTGACATCCAAATACGATTTTAGTGATTTTTACTTCTGAGTAGTATATCGCACTGATTGACATCTCCCTTTTGTTGTTCAACATAATCTTGTTACACTGACTAAGGCTTTTCGAGCCTCCCATTCAGCTTTTCTTTTCCTACCGAAAAATCCCCACTTTTCATGTGTTAATCCCTATAAGAATAATATTTATCTGTAAAATAAACGGGCGTTACGAGGGTTATAAATGAATGGATTACGAATTTTCAAAGAAAAATCCAAGAAAAAAAGATGGGAGATGGTTTTTTGTAGCTGGCACGGTATCGCCATGGCCGTACTTTGTGAAACTATTTTTAAGAATTCCAATTTTTTTACAGTATCTATCATCCGGTGTGCCTTTGCTATTGACAAATACATTGACTGAATTGTTATTAAAATGGTCACTTAGCTTAACAATCACTATTATCATAGCCGGTATTCGTTCGTATAAGTGATTATAATTCTTAATACTATTTGTTATGGCTTGTGAATGAATATGCCGCAGATCGAGGGATTTCGACAGAAACTAGACAAATACCACTTTCTAGGGTAACCGAACCCTGTGGCACAGTTACCCAGTTCGAGAGCTGGGCTAGTATTTAAGAAACTAAGTTTTACGGGTGTGGTGCAGTAGGAACGAAATTGTCGCGTCGCGGCGAAAGGGACGCCGCGCTCGAAGGGATGTAGCAGAATGCTGCAGCAAGTAAGAATTACAGGAACAAAGGAACTCACAGTAGAATCATGCCTAAAGTAATGACCGCATATCGATTGAGCTGTATGAAGCACGCCAGAGCCGCAATGAGGAGAGATGGGAGAGGCGAAGTCGAAGCGAAGTCTGCAGCAGCCGCGTGCGGCAAACCGATTACTCCGTTCCTACTGCACGTCCCCCAAGCTTTACTTGTATCTTTCATAGTTCAGCGTGAAGCGATAGCGTCGCGTCGCCACGCTTTGATGGCGCCATTCGTCGATCGATAGTTGTGGTACCTTCTGCGCTCGCCGCATTCGATCACGCACAATCACGCGCAATGAAGGGAATTGCCTGTGAAAGGGTTTGGCAGTCGCGGAGGAACCACTGCCGTTTGCCNTTGCTTCTAATCCGTCCGCCACGTCATTGTTTCACGCTCAACTCTGAGGCGTGAATTCCAAAGTTGCAAAACACACTATATCAGTATCAACAGCGCCCAACACAGTGAGAGGGCTTGTCGCAATGCGCCTTATATCTGACAGGTTTCTCTTTGTCTTATAGCATATCCTATTTAACTGGGTACAGTACCATGAAACCAGAGAACTGCAAAATCTAACTTGTACGCAAAATTCAGGAATAATGTCTAAGGAGCACAACTATTATTAAGAACAAATTTTCTGTACAATTTTAAATTACTCTCGTAACGGATTTTTTGTTTCATACCACTATTTCGCATCTATGACTGACTATTTTACGACTTATGCTAGCATTAAGCGGTTCAAGAATATCGGCAAGGACCTGGATCCGTAATGAACTGCTGTTTTTGAAAAGTTCACTGGCTACAAATGAATAGTGAACCCGTTACTCTCGAATATTCCTTCACGATGGTGGCTTTAGGTGGATGTGGCGCATTAACACACACGCATGGCCACGAGTTCGAATCCTGGATCGATATCAGCTTAGGCCAATCATACGATCCTCCCTCCGGGATAGGTTTAATGGTACCAGACCCATCTGGGAAGATGAAGCACTAATTTGTACATCGGCTGACCATGAAAGTCATTGAATAGGCTACATACGCATTCATTATGCCGCTACGATTCTGAATGGAAGTCGAATGTGAAGGCACAACCCTCAGAAGGGTTTCAACAACGCCCAAACCGTTTATCCCTTACCATTCAATGACGGACTTGAGGGCAGGAAGGGCACTGCTCAGGATTCTGCAGGCGCGGTGGACCTTACTGCTTTGCAGCTCT